GCGCTATTCCGGCCAGACAGGTGACTAATAGGGAGTGGTGCTAGTAAGGACAGGTGGGGTTCTGCATGACAGAAGGGTGGTTTTGAGATGTCTCCAAACCACCCTTCTTTCACCTGCAGGGGAGGGTGAGTCCCTATTTCGGCCAGGCAGGTGAGCGCTAGGGAGTGGTGCTAGTAAGGACAGGTGTCGTGCTGCTTCTGAAATGCCTCAAAAGGGGAGTGTGCAGGGGAGTTTGAGGCGTTATTATGTCCAGACCGGGGAATACTAGGGATGAGCATTTGTAAGGGACATATTAAGTAAGGTACCGGCACTGGTGCCAATGCAGTTTAGGTCAGCTTAGGGGCTGCAGGGGAGATTGTGTTGGTGTGATGGTTGCTGCAGCCTGCAGGCAGTATCAACTGCTACTTGTTCACGTGCCTTCTTTCCTCAGCTAATCTGCTACAGGTGTGGCTCTGGTTCTGCTTAAAACTGAAGGGAAACGGATTGCTTTATTGACGTTTCTTGTTCCTTCCCTTGCTGCTTGAAAATGCCTTACCTGACTTGATTTATCATGATCAATCGTTGACTTTCTCATTTCTTCTTGTCTTTCTGCTTCCTTTCCACTTCCTGTCTTTTATCGTTTGCACCAGTCCCCTGACTCGTCAGGATCTGCTGACGTGGCGCTTCGCTTTGGAGTACTCCCACCTCCCGCCGCCCGACCTTGCCGCCCTGCGCCACACATGCGGGCTCATTGACGCCGCCCGAATCTCCCCTGCCGCCCAAAGAGCCGTCTCTTTTGATCTCCTGCATCACAGGGGGGGGATGGAGCACCAACCAGAGGGGGAGGGGGAGGGTTGGGGGGAGGGTCGGGGCCAGGCGGGGGGGAGGGGGCTGGGAGAGGGGCTGGGGGAAGGGCAGGGGAGGGGGCGAGATATCAAATCTGCTGCTAATGCAGCGGTTATTCCCTTGGTGTTTGGTAATGTTCGTCGGTTCGACCCGTTAAAGCCCACTACGCATGCCCAGGCTGCTGCGGCGCTCACGTTCGGCCGAACCTACGAGTCGGTGAACGAGGCTGCGGTTCGGTTGGAGGTGGCAGAGGCTCGGAAGGAAGCTGACGTGGCGAGGCAGGAGGCTGAGTCAGCGAGAAGGGAAGCGGCGCGATTGGCCGAGGAGATGGAGAGAGCGAGGAGAGAGGAGGAGGAGGGAGTGAGGAGGGAGAGGGAAGAGCGAGAGAGTGTGGAGAAGGAAAGGGAGTCACTAAGAGAAGAGGTGGAGAGGCTAAGAGCTGAGGCTGTCAGGGTTGGCAGGGAGAGCAGCGGCGGTGGTGATGGTGGGGGTGAAGGGGAACTGAGTTCTGCGATTGGTGGGGTGGAAGGAGGGGAGGAGGAAGAGGCAGGTGGTGCGATGGGGAGTGGGGTGGCAGGCGAAGGGGAGGCGGGAGGAGCAGGTGCGAGTGTGGAGAGCAGCACCTCTGAAAGGACGGAGGAGGGCAGGTGAGGTGTGCTGTGGCAGGGATGGGTGTGCTGTGGCAGGGATGGGTGTGCTGTGGCAGGGATGGGTGTGCTGTGGCAGGGATGGGTGTGCTGTGGCAGGGATGGGTGTGCTGTGGCAGGGATGGGTGTGCTGTGGCAGGGATGGGTGTGCTGTGGCAGGGATGGGTGTGCTGTGGCAGGGATGGGTGTGCTGTGGCAGGGATGGGTGTGCTGTGGCAGGGATGGGTGTGCTGTGGCAGGGATGGGTGTGCTGTGGCAGGGATGGGTGTGCTGTGGCAGGGATGGGTGTGCTGTGGCAGGGATGGGTGTGCTGTGGCAGGGATGGGTGTGCTGTGGCAGGGATGGGTGTGCTGTGGCAGGGATGGGTGTGCTGTGGCAGGGATGGGTGTGCTGTGGCAGGGATGGGTGTGCTGTGGCAGGGATGGGTGTGCTGTGGCAGGGATGGGTGTGCTGTGGCAGGGATGGGTGTGCTGTGGCAGGGATGGGTGTGCTGTGGCAGGGATGGGTGTGCTGTGGCAGGGATGGGTGTGCTGTGGCAGGGATGGGTGTGCTGTGGCAGGGATGGGTGTGCTGTGGCAGGGATGGGTGTGCTGTGGCAGGGATGGTTGTGCTGTGGCAGGGATGGGTGTGCTGTGGCAGGGATGGGTGTGCTGTGGCAGGGATGGGTGTGCTGTGGCAGGGATGGGTGTGCTGTGGCAGGGATGGGTGTGCTGTGGCAGGGATGGGTGTGCTGTGGCAGGGATGGTTGTGCTGTGGCAGGGATGGGTGTGCTGTGGCAGGGATGGGTGTGCTGTGGCAGGGATGGGTGTGCTGTGGCAGGGATGGGTGTGCTGTGGCAGGGATGGGTGTGCTGTGGCAGGGATGGTTGTGCCTGCTTGTCTTGCAGCGGAAGAATCGAAATTTTGAAAAGCAGAAGGGGGGGTTGCGAGTATGGCGGGCAGTTCGTATGGGGGAGTGGTGGGAGCAGATGGAGGGACAGCGGGAAGGTAGGCTATTGTATGGGGGGAACGTTAGAGCAGCTTGTTGAAGCAGGAGAGGGAACTGGAGGGTGAGGAGCCTTGGGGGTGAGGGTGCAATGGGGGCCTTCGATGATCCTCTGAAGTGATTTGCGTAGCAGCGGCGCACATCAAATCAGCGCCGTCTTCCTCACGTTATGGTACCATGCATGCTGTTGGCATCCAAGAACCAGCTACTCCGCATGTAGTAAGTTGATTTTTGAGTCGACTCAAAAATCGGAAGCATGCATGCTGTTGGCATCCAAGAACCAGTTACTCCCCCCCGGGCAGGCGTTTTTTAGACGTCTCAAAAACACCCTCATTTTACGTTGCTGTTAGCATCCAAGAACCAGCTACTCCCCCCCGGACGGGCGGGCGGGCTGGTGGGCTGATTTGATCCAGCAGAGAGCACAGCAGACATGGCACAGCGTGCCCAGGAAATTCTTTACCTTGCTCTCTTGATCTCTCTTCCTCATTCTCCCCTTCTTCGTCCCTCTCCCTTCATTCCTCCGTGTGTTCCCTCCCTCCTTTCCAGCATCCAAGAACCTGCCTTTCTCGCACCTGGCTGGTGGGCTGATTTGATTCAGCAAAAATTACAGGAGGCTCACAGCACGGCGCCTCCAATAGATTTTTCTCTCTTTGTTCTCGGAGTCTTAGTCTCTCTCTTTCGTGCTCCCTCTCCCTATCTTTGTCCTTCTTGCTTCCTTCGTTCCTCCGTGTGTTCTCTCCCCACCTTGCAGCATCCAAGAACCTGCTATTCTCCCCCCGGGCTGGTGGGCGGATTTGATCCAACAGAGAGCAGAGGAGGCGAAACACGGCGCTGCCAAGAATCTGGTCAGAATCAAAGAGCGTTCTGCTGACGTGGCGTCCAGCCTGGCTGCCAGCGTGGCGGACGGCAGTCTGCAGCGGTCAGTGAGTAAAAGGGCAGAGGAAGCTGCCAGGAAGGTGCAGGAGCTACAGGATGCTGATTTGAAGGAAGGTGCGAGGATGGTGCGGGAGCAATTGGGAGGGGAGGTGGCGAGGAGGATCGAGGGAGTGAGGGCGGAAGGGGAGCGAATGGTGGCAATGGGGAGAGAAGAGGCTTCTAAACTGGTGAGGGTAGGGAGGGGAGTGATTCATAGGGGTGTGAGGGAGATAAGAGAGAAAGCGGGGTACAGGTGGGCTGCTGGGAAGGCGGGTGGTAGCGGTTCCATTGGCTCTGCTGTGGCTGCTGGTTCTGGTTCTGTGAAGAAGCAGTGAGCAAGCATCAGGGCTTGACTTTTTTAGGCGCCTCAAAAGCATCAGGGCTTGGGCAGCCTGTCCTGGCACGATCCAGATGTTGCTGCGGTAGTGGTTCGATTGGCTCTGCTGTGGCTGCTGGTGCTGCTGGTGCTGTGAAGAGGCAGTGAGCAAGCATCAGGGCTTTAGCAACCTGTCCTGGCAGGTTACAGATGGGCTACTGGGAAGAAAGTCAGCAGTGGTTCCCTAGGCTCTGCTCTGTGTCTCCTGCTGCTGCTGTTTCTGTGAAAAGGCCTTGAGCAGCGTGTTTCCTTCTCAGAGTAACCTAGGTGGACTAGGGTAGGCTCTAATTAGAAGCACCCTGTGTTTCGGGATGTGCGGTGGAGATGGGTACAGGTGGGTGGCTGGTTGTTGTAGGCTCTGGCTGCACATGGCATTAGAAAATATATGTGTATCGCTGAATTGCTTGATGCATGTACCAGACTCTGTTTCAAAGTGCACCAATGATTTTTGTGTTGAGCATTGTACTTGCAAGATATATGATTGTTACACACAGTAATGCAATTCCGCATACCGTGGGCGCTTTAGCAATTTTTGAATATTGGAGCTGCCAGCATGTTGTTTGTGGGGCGACGGATGTGGCAAGGCAAGGCAGCTACCGTACCAAAATTCGTTCTTGCTACGAATTTTGGTGAACAAACGTTGTGTTGGTCAATACTATGTCCTTGCATAATTGTTGGGTTTCTTCGTAACGCGATCACGATGCTGTGGTGGTGCGCCACACCCTCGGTGAAACCATTTATTATAGGCAAGAAACGTGTTTCCTTTTTCCAGCCCCTTGAAATTTTATGTTCCATCAAGGACAACCGTATTTCACTAAGCGCGAGCGCTAGAATGCTAAATTTAAGTGGGACCCCTGCTTTCATCGCCTGTACTTAGCGTACCACGATGTTACACATACCCGAACTGATGGCTCCTGCCCCTAAATTATAGAATCTCACACCCCCCCTGCATCCCCAACACCTCGATAATTCCTCCCACCCCTCACTTTCCCGCCTTTTTGCCCCTCCCCTCCGCTCCCTCCTCCTTTGCGCTTGCCTCTCCCCCTCACTGCTGCGCTCGGCACCGCACCTGCTGCTCTCTGCTCTGCTGCTCCCCTCGCTGCTGCTCCTGCTGCTCCTCCTGCTCCATTTTCATTCACTCTGCTCTACCTTTCTCCCCTTTCCTCCCTCGAGCTCCGCCTTGAGCTTTCTCTTACCTCACTCCCTAAACTAGTCTTACCCGTCTCCCGCGGATCCAGCTGCGGTCGGGCAAAATGGTACGAGTCGGGTCGCTCTGCCGTTTCCATTTTGGTCTAGATTTGTGCGGTTCGGTAGAGCTCCGTGACCTGGTTTTAGGGTGTAAGCGGTTTTGCGGACCAAATTTAGGGTTAGATGTATCAGCGCTTTACGTAGTCTCGACGACAAGCGCTTCGCTTCGTGCCGTAATAAATCGAATTCCCCCATGGCGTGGGTTTGTCATGGCCTGGGATTCTTACCTGTAGCCTTGACATTTGCGTTTCCTTGGCCTAGTTAAGCTTAGAGGCTTGCCGTTTGCCGTGTAATTCGACGGACGTCTGAGACATGTCACCGTGTGCCTCTATGCCTCGTGGCCGCGTTATAGCTTGCTTCATGATCAGCGTTATGAGGTCATCTCCACGATTTTTTGCTGGCCGAGTGGACGGATAGTACAGTGTACTCGTAGTGTCTCGAATTTTATCCCGCTTTCACCGACGGTGTTACACGGCAACGATACCCTAGCTTCGTGCAGTTTAGCAAACCAGATGCCTGAGTCAGCTACGCGCAGCAGACTGAAACTGATCGTTAACTTTTTGTTCCCCCGATTCTATATTTTCATCCTACGCCGTTTTCCCTGTCTCTCTTTTCGTTCGTGCTTGCAGTTGGTCCCCAAAAAGAACCGTCTCTTGGTCTACAAGTACCTCTTCAGCGGTGAGTCTTCCTCCTCGTTCCCCAACTCCCCGCGTCCCTCCCCGCTTCTCCCCTCCTCCTCCCCCTCCCCCTTCCCCCCACTCTCATTCCCCCCCTGTTGGTCCATCTCTTCAGTGGTGCGTCTTCCCCCCCCTCCACCCTTCGTCTGCTCCGCTCCCTTCCCTGGCCCTTCTGTGAGCACTTTCGTGCTCCCAGTCGCCTCCAAGTTACCCTGACCGATTAAGTTTTACAGATCCTTACGTGAAGAGAAACGGGAGAGTAGGGGGAAGGGGGAAAAGGGGAGTGCAGTGGCGGAAGAGGTGGGTCAAGGAGTGTCAAAGCTGGTTAGAGTGCTTTAAAGCGGTTCAAAACGACAATGCGTGTGCGGCCAGAGGAAGGGAAGGGGTGTTGCGGGGAAAGCCCGATGGCCGGTTACTTGCCATCGAACTGCTGTTACGGAGAGACAACAGATTCGGGCAGATATTTCTGTCGGCGGGAATTTGTTTGTGTGATAAGTTTGACGGAGTTAATTGTTATGAGCCGGCGCTTTTGCGTACGTCTGAAGACTCGAGGCGCTCCAGGATCGGTGGTGGCAATGCGGCGAGAGATTAGAGGATTTGTGCCGAGAGTTACGTTAGTTGAGAGATACAAGGATTTGTGCAGAGAGTGACTTAAGTAGAGAGGTTCAAGACTCGAGTGGCAATTTTGCGACTTGGCTTCAGCTCCGTCCGTAACTGATCGACTTGGGGACCTGATTCAGAAATCTTGTGTTGAGACACCCAAAATACCTCAATATCTTAGTGGGGCTTGCTGTCCCCTCGCACGTGTGTCCGCGCGCGTGCCGACCAGTGGACCCGTCGACCGATCGATCGTAAGGGAAGCGCTGTAGCACAAACGTCTCACCATTGAGTCGATTTAACAAGTATTTTCCGAGAGTTTCGAGAGTCTCTAGCTCACTAGCACAGTTGTTTATCCTGCCCCCGCTGCCCCTTCCTACCCATCCGTCCTTTTCACCCCTCTTTAATTGGCCCCGCCTCCCCTTTCCCCAAAGCACCCAGAGCTCCCTTCCACTTTCTTGTGTCATCTCACCCCGATCATTTTCTGCTTGCCCCTCTCGCCCCTTCCCCCACCCTCTTCTCCCGTCCTCCCCTTACCCGGCCCTCTTCGCGGCAGAGGGAGTCCTGTTCGCGGAGAAGGACTTCAACCTGCCCAAGCACCCCGAGCTCTCAGCCTCTTCGTTGCGTCACCTCACCCCTTTCCTAATCCTCTTTCCCCTGTTCACTCCTTCCCCGGCCCCTTTTCTCCCTGCCTGCCCCCTCGTCCCCACAGAGGGAGTCCTGTTCGTGGAGAAGGGCTTCAACCTGCCCAAGCACCCCGAGCTCTCAGCCTATTTCTTGGGTCATCTCACCCCGTTCATTTCCTGCTTGCCCCTGCTCGTCCCTACCCCGGCACCCCATGCGGCCCCTCTCCCCCATCCCTCTTGCAACAGAGGGAGTCCTGTTCGCCGAGAAGGACTTTAGCCTGCCCAAGCACCCCGAGCTCTCAGCCTCTTTCTTGGGTCATGTCACCCCGTTCATTTCCTGCTTGCCCCTGTTCGTCCCTACCCCGGCACCCCATGCGGCCCCTCTCCCCCATCCCTTCCCAACAGAGGGAGTCCTGTTCGCCGAGAAGGGCTTCAACCTGCCCAAGCACCCCGACCTCCCATCCACTTTGTAATCTCACTTCTTCCTCTCCCCGTTTGCCCCTGTTCGCCCCTTCTCCCATCCCTCGTCCCCACAGAGGGAGTCCTGTTCGCGGAGAAGGACTTCAACCTGCCCAAGCACCCCGAGCTCGAGGTCCCCAACCTGCAAGTGAGTTGTCTAAATTAGCAGCCTTATGATGTATAACAGTATCTGCTGTCCTTCTTGCCTGGTCCGTGTCCCTGGTTGCCTCGTAGTATTACCCCCAACCCCCCCCCCACCCACCCTTCCCCCATCAACTCCCCGCCCTCCCCTCCCTCCCCGCCCCCGAAATTCCCCCACCCTGTCTCCGCTCCCCCCCCACCTCCCCTCTCCCCCCCCGCAGGTGATCAAGCTGATGCAGAGCTTCAAGTCGAAGGGGTTTGTGCGCGAGACGTTCGCGTGGCGGCACTACTACTGGTACCTCACCAACGAGGGCATCGAGCACCTCCGCGACTACCTCAACCTCCCCTCCTTTCCCCCTTTTCCCCCCTCTTCCCTCTCCCTCTTCCTCGTCCTCCGTCCTCGTTTCTTCCTTGTTTTTCCTGCGCCATCATCTCCCCCCGGCCCCCGCGCCGCCACCCCCACCCCCCCCCCCGTTCCGCCACCCCCCGCAGGTGATCAAGCTGATGCAGAGCTTCAAGTCGAAGGGGTTTGTGCGCGAAACCTTCGCGTGGCGGCACTACTACTGGTACCTCACCAACGAGGGCATCGAGCACCTCCGCGACTACCTCAACCTCCCCTCCGAGATCGTCCCCGCCACTCTGAAGAAGTCCTCCCGCCCGCCCGGCCGCCCCATGGGCGCTGGTGGCGACCGCCCCCCTCGGTAAGTCAACGCTGGTCAACGCAGGTCAACGCAGGTGAAATGTGGAGTAAGCCCCCTCTGAGATCGTCCCTGCCACCCTCAAGAAGTCCTCCCGCCCGCCCGGCCGCCCCATGGGCGCTGGCGGCGACCGCCCTCCTCAGTAAGTCAACGCCAGTTAATGCCAATCAGTCAGTCAATGTCAGTCCACATTTCAACTCCGCCACTTTTGCCACAGTCTACCCCCACCCCGTTTCCAAGGACTATTGAATAACGTTCCCACCACCCGTTCTTCCACCCTGCACGCCAAGGGCGGTATTCCCACCCGTCGAGAAGCCATGAGCACCAACTACAGTTGGACGCGTGGCCGATCTTGGTGGGTCGGCGAGTCTTGATCATCTTCCCTCCCTGCCCCCTCCTCCTCCCGTCGCTCCCATACTCCAGCCGTTTTGAAGGGGTCGGGGCTTCGGGGACCCGTTAGGGTTACCGTGGTTAGCTGCGGCGCTATTCCAATACACTAATTTCAATCTCTTATCATCTGGTCCTCCCACCCGTCCCCACATACCGCAGCCGTTTCGAGGGTGGACGGGGCTATGGGGACCGCGAGGGATACCGTGGGTATGGTGCCGGTGGTGATGACAAGGCCGGTGCTCCTGGCGCGTACAAGCCAGCCTTCAGGGAGGTGAGTACACTGTTGCTTGCTCACAGCTGTACAGGTTGCTTCTTGGTGGCTTTTTCTCTTGTGGATGGATCCTGGCCTGTTGCAGTTCTTTCGGTTATAATTGCTCCTCAGGTCCTACTGGGTTGAAAGGTTCTGTTTTTGTTTTGTGGGGTGGCAGCTGGAACTGTGTTTCAGTCTGCCTTGCCATTCAAGTCAACACAGAATAACTTGTTTTTCATTGTCCTGAATGTGCCTCAGGGTGGCGGCCGTGGTGGCTTCGGCCGTGGAGCTGGGGGATATGGTGGTGGCGACTATGGCAGCGCTCCCGGTGCTCCTGGGGCTCCCCCTCCCGCTGTGTAAATGAGACATGGGCATGCGCTCTTGGGCCAAAACTATTCAAGCCAGGCCTTTGCTCAAGGATTAGATGCCTCTGTACGGCACCCGCTCCTGCTCAGCTTTTGTGGGTGGGGCGAGTTTTACAAGCCCCTTCTGATGCAGTAGGATGAGGATGGGCTCAAGTGTTGCATTATGTTTCCTGTGATGCTAATGTTTCTCATTTTGAAATGTGCAATGAAGTGAGAAACCCGTGTCGAAATTAAAACCGGGGTGCACATTCAGCTGAATGTGCATCAAAGGTTATCCCTTGACTGAGTGGGTTACGAGGTGTGCTTTCAACCCCTTCAAGTCGAAATTCGTTTCCCCCCTCCCCCGCAATTTCGTTTCCCCTCGCCCCCGCAATTTCATTTCCCCCTCCCCGTCGAAATTCGTTTCCCCCCTCCCCCGCAATTTTGTTTCCCCCCTCCCCCGCAATTTCGTTTCCCCCCCCTCCCGCCAATCTGTTTCATCCCTCCCGCCATTCGGTTTCACCCACTCCCGCCATTTCACCCCCTCCCGCCACCTACGAAATGCCCGAAGCTCTAGCGGAATCATTTTTTTGTCGCCCCTCGTGAGCCAATCACTGTTTTTCTCCAAACCCCCTTCCCAACATCTCAAGCCGAACCGCGTTGAATGTGCACCCTGGTTTTAATGCCTGTGCAATAAATCACACAAAATGCGGACCTCGGACCTGAGTCGACTTTGGACCAAATTGTTAATGTGTTGGTATCGTCGATCACCTTGTCGAGTGGTGGGCTTCGCGTGATCGAGGTGGCCTTTATCGAAATTGCGTTGGACGCTGCTTGCAGTCGGACGAGACAAGACGCTTCGACGCCGCAGCGCTCCGCCTTTGACCAGGGTACAGTGTGCTCAACTTCAGTCCACAGCCAATCAAGATTGTTCCCGCGTGCACTTTGTCACAACCTCCTCGTGCCAGTGACTGAAGGTGAAGGGAACATACCTACAGAACGCAGTACCAAACTTGTTCTGACTGCTCCGAGCCTGCCCAAACAGGCTTGTCACGCCCCGCGAGGCTCGGACTAACACGAACCGTGTCGTGACAAGCGGATGGTAGGCACGTGTCCTCCTCGTTGACGGCGGAGATGAGTTCTCCTTGTTTGTCCTCTGAACCTCGATATCATCCTTCACCACATAACTTCATCTGATTCTTCCCTTCCCCAGCCTCAGACTCATCAGTTTGTCCCTTCGTCTCCACGAAAGCTAGCAGGACTAACCAGTAGTAGAGCTGATGGCCATGGTGTTGGGTAGCTGATTGCGAGGAAGACCGCAGAGTGGTGACAAAGTTTCGGGGGCCGTTGTAATTAGTTTTTTCCTATTGTCCTGGTGTGCAAGTGGCGATTCAGAAGCGTCGTTCGCGGCCATTACAAGTATTTTTTAGAACAATAAGCTTGAGGAACATCGTGCAAACCACTAGTAATTTATAGCCGACGCCTGCTCTTGCATGCCCAGAACCAATCACACATTAAGGTCCTTTGCTACCAGGTCGCAGGGATACGTAAGACCAGCTGTAGGATCGATCGGGTCCGAGCCATGGCGTCCGCGTTATTCAGTAGGATGGACCTTCTCACCTGCTTCGTCTTCCTCCTCGTTCTCGGCCTGAGCCAACGCTTCCACCTCCTGCCGTCCATCCCGTCGCCGGAAGAGTTCCTATCCGACGCGATGGTCCACCAGTCGGGAGTATCAGTGGCCGACGAAAGCTCGAGAGGGCCGCGGAGGCGTCTGTTAGAAGCTCCGTCACAGGTATCCCATGTTCCGATCCATGTCCTCCTTAGTCTGCTTCTATTATGACGCTCCAGTGCTAGCGTTAACTTGCAATTTGTCTTGCAAGTCCTTCGTACACTTTCGTAACGATGCTCCCAGTGGCGGTAGCCCAACGAAGCAGAATAAGGGCTTATGAGCCATGGCAACTGGGCCTGCTTATCTTGGTTTGGGACATGGCGGATCAGAAGCCTGATTCTCTCCGTCAGTTTCATGCAGCCTCGCTGTCGCTGAACTATGCAGACTTATTCAGTTCGAATAGATCGAGGCAGAGGAGCGCAGTCGACTCAAAGCGTCGACGAGATCGTTGGAGTCGATTGAAAAAATACTCTGCTGAATTAGTGATACCCACCCGACAAGGACAGGAACGGGTGATCACATGGTTATCATACACGGAGTTTAAAGAGAGACACGTCGATCACAATTTTCAGCAACTCGGATAGAAACGCCGATCCTCACTTGATATGTCTGTCAATGCCCCCGTTCGTACTGGAGTTCCTTTGACCATTCCGAAAGCCATCCAAGTAGAAACGTCAATCCTGAATTGCTACATCCGTGAATAACCGCGTATTATTCTCTACGACTTCTCAAAGCCACCCGTTTTCATCGCATGTACGTCCCTGAACGTCGACCCTTGCTGATACGTCCGTGAATGCTCCCAACTTTATGGCAGGCGGAGGATCGCGAGGCGCAGAGGCAGATGGTGCGCGCGGCGGTGGAGCGATGGCGGAAGGAGCAGCGGGCGCGCGACAAGCGGGAGATGAACGAATCCATGCCGAACACGCAGCCGCCCAAAGGGGAACGGTTCCTGCTGGGCCCGAAGATTACTGGTGAGTGTCTCTTGAGTCGACGAATATTCTACCTCGAGGGATGGACGAATCGATATATGAGGATGTGCGTCAAGTCAGCCGCCCAAAGGGGAGCGGTTCCTGCTTGGCCCGAAGATTACTGGTGAGTGTCTATTGAGTCGACGCAAAAGTTACCTTGAGGGATGGACGAATCCAAGCCGGTCACGCAGCCGCCCAAAGGGGAGCGGTTCTTGCTGGGCTCGAATATTACTGGTGAGTGCCTGGCTCTGCGCGTCGATATATGAGGAGGTGCCTCAAGTCGGCCGTTCAAAGGGAATGTTTTTTTCCGGAGCTTAGGTTTACCAGTGCGTGCCTGCCGCCCCGAGTTGTCTGTTGAAATGTCCCAAAAGCGCGCGGATATTACCGGTAAGTGTTTGCCGCGCCTTGGCGAAGCGACTTAAAAACCCCCGATAGTTCTGTGTGCTGGTAGTTCTCATCGGGGATCGACACACCGTTCACTTTTGCCATGCTTCCCCGTCCCCTGTTTCCCTCTCCCAATTTCCCTTCTCCTGCTCGGCGCTTCGTTTCTCCCCCCTGCCCTTTTCCTTTCCTTCCCCACTCCCGCCCCCGCAGACTGGGACGAGCAGCGCGCGGACCACGTGCGCAAGCACCCAGGGAGCAAATCAACAGTCTTCTCTTTCCGCCCCTCCCCGTCCAATTCCCCGTTTCTCTCCCCGCCCCCCTCCTTTTCCCCTCCGGTCCGCTGCCCTAACCCTCCCCTTCCCCCCTCTCCCCCTCCCCCGCAGACTGGGACGAGCAGCGCGCGGACTACGTGCGGAAGCACCCGGGGTGCAACGAGACGCGGCAGGGCAAGGCGCGCGTGATGCTGGTGACGGGGTCGCAGCCGGGCGTGTGCGACAACGACGTGGGCGACTTTCTGCTTCTCAAGTCGCTCAAGAACAAGCTCGACTACTGCTCGCCGCGGGACATTGAGGTGAGGAGAGAGAGCATACGGATTACGGGGTTGCTACACTGCTGTATGTTTGTGTTTCTGCCTACTCGCTCCTCAAGTCGCTCACGAACAAGCTCGACTACTGCTCGCCGCGGGACATCCAGGTGCGCTGTGGGCTACCCGTCAACTGTAACGAGCGTTGCGCGCCAAGGGATACTCGGGTGAGCAGGTTTAAGACGTTGCACCAGGTGTAGTACACAGCACACCAGCAAGGCCAGCCAGGAGCTCGTTCTCCTGGCATGGAATCGTTCTCGGTGCTCCTTGACCCTCTCCTCTCCACGCCACTACTCTCCCCTCGTCATCTTTTCCCTCTCCACTCTCTCTTGGAAGATCTCCATCTCAGCACGACCATTCTGCATCGCTCCATGAACTCGCTCTCAGTGCTCCTTCCCTCTCTGTAATCCTACCCACACTCTGCCTCTCTCTTCCCTCATTCTTCCCTTTTTCTTCCCTCCATTCCTTCCGTTTCTTCCCTCCATTCCTTCCGTCTTCGTCAATCGAATCTACTACAGCACGGCCATCCTGGGACGCTCAATAAACTCGTTCGGGGTAATGCTTTAGCCACCCCCTTCCACCACCCCTTCCCTCTCCCCTTGAACCCTCTCTTTCTCCATTCTTCTCAGATATACTACAGCACGGCCATTCTAGATCGCTCTATGGACTCGTTTTGGGTGAAGCTGCCGCTGCTGCGCAAGCTGATGCTGTCGCACGCCGAGGTTGAGTGGTTCTGGTGGATGGACTCGGACGCCGTGTTCACAGGTGAGAATGGGTTTAGTGCGGTGCAATGACATGGAAGCCAGTTTGAAACGGTGCTGCGAGGTTCCTGAGGGCAGGGAGCTGATGCTGTCCCATGCCGAGGTGTAGCTGTTCTGGTGGATGGAGTTCGATGTTCATTTTCTTATCCGAGAATGAGTGTAATGCGGTGCAGTGTTGTAAAATCCGGTTAGAGAAGGTGCTGGCGTCCACCCCATCTACGACTCTGATGCACTTGATATGCCCTACGCCTGTTCCCTTTGACATCCCTCGCCATCCGTTCCCATCCCTCACCATCCCTCTTCATCTCTCGCTACCTCTCCCATCTCTATCCATCCCTCCCTAGCTCCTGCCGACATGACATTTGATGTGCCTTCATATGGTGATGCATGTGATGCACGGGTTGACTTTTGAGTCTAAACCTTGAACAAGGAGACTCAAAAGTCTCCTTGTTCACATGGTGATGCATTGAGTCCGATGCTGATGTTCTCCCCGCGCCACTCCTCCAACACCCTTCCCCCTTTAACCCCTACCTCCACACCCGACAGACATGACGTTTGACGTGCCGTTTGAGAAGTATGAGCCGCACGTTCACATGGTGATGCATGGATACGACTCGCTTGTCTACGGCAAGAAGGACTGGTGAGCCCATT